ATTTTTTGAGACAGAGTCTCACTTTGTTGCCCAGGCTAGAGTGAGTGCCATGTCGTCAGCCTCGCTCACAGCAACCTCAATCTCCTGGGCTCAAGTAATCCTGCTGCCTCAGCTCCCAAGTAGCTGGGACTACAGGCATGTGCCACCATGCCCGGCTAATTATAACTCGTAGCCTGGGCAACAAAGTGAAACTCTGTTCTCCAAAATAAATATAATTAAATAAAATATTATATAGTATAATTTTTTTTTAAATAATTAAAAATGTAAACATATTGTACCCAAAGCATGCCTGTGAGTTGAATTTGACCTATGAGCTATTTGCAACTTCAGAGAGAGAATGTGACAATTACTCTTTTTAGGTTTGCATATATAGAGTTCTCAGACAAAGAGTCAGTGAGGACTTCCCTGGCCTTAGATGAGTCCCTATTTAGAGGAAGACAAATCAAGGTAAGCATGTGCCCATTGCTATTCTGATTCTATGCGAACTCTCCAGGTTGACTCATAAAGCTTTTCCATTGTACATCCTTTACTCTTAGGTGATCCCAAAACGAACCAACAGACCAGGCATCAGCACAACAGACCGGGGTTTCCCACGAGCCCGCTACCGTGCCCGGACTACCAACTACAACAGTTCCCGCTCTCGATTCTACAGTGGTTTTAACAGCAGGCCCCGGGGTCGAGTCTACAGGTCAGGATAGATGGGCTGCTCCTCTCCCCCGCCTCCCATGAGCCCTGTATGCTTCCTTCTCTCCTGATGTGAGGAACCTCCCTCCCTTCCCCTCCCCTTGGTCTCCAGGGACTTGGTCTCCTGCCTGTGCAGGGTGAGGAAGGTAGTTGCAGGCCCCGCCAGGAGGCCAGTCTTATCATCTTTTCTGGAGCAGGAATTGGTGATAAGGGCTGGATCTCCATCTAGTTTGGAAGATACTTTCTCCCCCAGCCTTCTTTTCCTTGGGAGTTGGCAGTGAAGGAGTTTACACTGAAAGCCAGGAAGAATGGGGTCTCAGGGCAGTGAAAACACCGCTTGGACATTGGCTACTTTTCCCAGAGTTAGGGAGAGGTTGAAGATTGAACCTCCCTTGGAAGAATACCAGAAGCTAGTTGATCCTCCCCAACAGCTATGTGGGAGGATTTTGAGATATTTACTCTTTATTTGAGCCAGTCTTGCAAGGTTAACTGTCTCACTGGGCCTAGTGTGTGTGGTACCCATGTTTTTGCTTTGCTTTACTTTCTCTACATTTAAATAGACAGGTTAGACATGTAAACCTTGGCTTTTCATAAGATCTACCTGTCTGCTCCCAGGAGTTAGAGAGGATCTATTGGGTTTAAGAGCTATGGAGAACTGAAAACTGGACAAACGGGGTCCTTTTCTCTTGCCCCTGTATCTCAGATGCAACTTTGGTAAAGTGTTCTGTTAAACACTCTGCACCCTCAAATTCACTGGGTGTGTTACTATTTCTGGGATTGTGGGGTCAGTTTTAGACACTTGAAAACTTCTTTTCCCCCTTCCCTTCACAGTAACTGGGGCAAGGGCCCATGGGGAGGGGCTCGTACTGAACTATCTAGTTATCATGTTAACACCTAACTCTCCTTCTTTCTTCCAGGGGCCGGGCTAGAGCGACATCATGGTATTCCCCTTACTAAAAAAAGTGTGTATTAGGAGGAGAGAGAGGAAAAAAAGAGGAAAGAAGGAAAAAAAAAAGAATTAAAAAAAAAAAAGAAAAACAGAAGATGACCTTGATGGAAAAAAAAATATTTAAAAAAAAAAAAGATATACTGTGGAAGGGGGGAGAATCCCATAACTAACTGCTGAGGAGGGACCTGCTTTGGGGAGTAGGGGAAGGCCCAGCCCAGGGAGTGGGGCAGGGGTCTGCTCAGTCACTCTGGGGATTCGCCATGGACACGTCTCAACTGCGCAAGCTGCTTCCCATGTTTCCCTGCCCCACTTCGCCCCCTTGGGGGCTCCTCAAGGGTAGGTGGGCATGGGTGGTAGGAGGGCTTTTTTTTTACCCAGGGCTCTGGAAGGACACCAAACTGTTCTGCTTGTTACGTTCCCTCCGTCTTCTCCCCATCTTTCACAGTCCCCTCCTGCCTGCTCCTGTCCTGCCAGGTCTACCACCCACCCCCACCCCTCTTTTCCGGCTCCCTGCCCCTCCAGATTGCCTGGTGATCTATTTTGTTTCCTTTTGTGTTTCTTTTTCTGTTTTGAGTGTCTTTCTTTGCAGGTTTCTGTAGCCGGAAGATCTTCGTTCCGCTCCCAGCGGCTCCAGTGTAAATTCCCCTTCCCCCTGGGGAAATGCACTACCTTGTTTTGGGGGGTTTTGGGGTGTTTTTGTTTTTCAGTTTTTTGTTTTGTTTTTTTTTTTCTTTGCTTTTTTTTTTTTCCCTTTTATTTGGAGGGAATGGGAGGAAGTGGGAACAGGGAGGTGGGAGGTGGATTTTGTTTATTTTTTTAGCTCATTTCCAGGGGGAGGGAATTTTTTTTTAATATGTGTCATGAATAAAGTTGTTTTTGAAAAAATAAAAATTGTTTGGCCTTTTGGGTGTAAGGATTATTTATCTTCCTATTCTCAGATCAAAGATGGCTGTTAATTCTACTTTGTGGAAATACTGGTGTTGTGGAGGGGAAATTCCCAGTTGAGAATTAGAGTAGGAGTTAAATTACAAGGAGCCAGGAACATTATGTGTTTTGTTGAGGATGCTGGGTTTTTCTGGATAGCATGTAACCCTGATTGACATTTGAGAGGTAAATGAAATGAGCTCACAAAAGTAAAGGAGTAGCCCTTCTAATAGCGCTACTGTGTGCTTCTGATACAACTTAAGTGAAAATGAACTATCTGTACCAGCAGCCCTAGATTCCTAGACTGGGGTCTGGGTAACCTTTCTTGTCTTTCCTACCTCAGCGTTGGCTTAAGAAATACAAAAACAGGCCAGGTGCAGTGGCTCACACCTGTAATCCTAACACTTGAGAGGCCGAGGTGGGAGGATTGATTGAGTCTAGGAGTTTATGACTAGCCTGAGCAACATAGACTCCACCTCTACATAAAAATAGAAAAATTAGGTGTAGTGTTGGGCACCTATAGTTCTGGCTGCTTGAGAGGCTGAGGCAAGGGGATCCTCAAGCCCAGGAGTTTGAGGTTACAGTGAGCTATTCAAAAACAAAATGTAGACCGGGTGTGGTGGCTTACGCCTGTAATCCTAGCACTCTGGGAGGCCAAGGCGGGCGGATTGCTCAAGGTTGGGAGTTCGAAACCAGCCTGAGTGAGATCCTGTCTCTACTAAAAATAGAAAGAAATTAATTGACCAACTAAAAATATATATACAAAAGAAAAAATTAGCTGGGCATGGTGGCGCATGCCTGTAGTCCCAGCTACTCAGGAGGCTGAGGCAGCAGGATCGCTTGAGCCCAGGAGATTGAGGTTGCCGTGAGCTAGGCTGACTCCACGGCACTCACTCTAGCCTGAGCAAAAAAGTGAGACTCTGTCTCAAAAAAATAAAAGAAAATGTAGGCCTGGTGCGGTGGCTCACGCCTGTAATCCTAGCACTCTGGGAGGCCGAGGTGGGCAGATTGCTTGAGGTCAGGAGTTGGAAGCCAGCCTGAGCAAGAGCAAGACCCCCGTCTCTACTATAAATAGGAAAAAATTAATTGGCCAACTAATATATATAGAAAAAAAAATTAGCCGGGCATGGTGCATGCCTATCTATAGTCCCAGCTACTGGGGAGGCTGAGGCAGAAGGATTGCTTGAGCCCAGGAGTTTGAGGTTGCTGTGAGCTAGGCTAACGCCACGGCCCGCACTCTAGCCAGGACAACAAAGCGAGACTCTCTCTAAAAAAAAAAAAAAATGTAGTTAATAATTGTAAAGCTTATGTTGTTTTCTCCAGCCCTGCGGTGACTAAGGTGATCAGCTATCATTTTGGATCATTTTATTGATTAGGACTTCACAACTGGCTCTCACTGTTTCTGTGTTTTAAACTTTGCTGTGTAGTTACTTGGCCATCTTAATAACTTAGTTTCTCTGTTTCCCATTCTAATGTTGGATTGGTCTTAACATTCTTGAATACTTTGTCATTCCCAGCTCAAGTCTTCATAGACTATTACCTACAGAATTTCTTAATATTTCAACCTCTTCATGATTTTTTTTTTAAAGCTCTGTGGCCCAGGCTAGAGTGCAGTGAAGTGATTGATTATAGCTCACTGTAACATCAAAACTCCTGGGCTCAAGTGATCTTTCTGCCTTGGCCTCCCAAAGTGTTGGCATTGTAGGCGAGTCATTGCACCTAGCCCCTTCATACTCTATTTTGCCATTCACTTTGGTCTCAGGATGTTTTTGTTCATGGTTGCCTCTGACCTGGATGCTCTTTTCTTCAAAAATCTTAGGTTAAAGAGATGACTCTTTTATATCCATGAAGCCTGACCCACCTCTCAAGTTACATTGTATTCTCAGGTCAGTGTTGACCACCACTTATTTTAGTATTCATTTATTGTACTACCTCCTGTTGTGGATCAGTTAGGCGTTTGAGGTCTATCTTTTCTCCTAACTTGGTAAAATAATGTCTGGTGGTCTCAGTGCGGAGACTTCTGCAGAGGCTGATGAACAAGAGGCTGGATAAAGTGTTCAATATTCTATTCAAAGAATGTGAAACATCCTAAGTGACTTGATGTTAATGTTATGAAGGTCTCATCTATCCACCAGGGGGCACTAAATGGCTAGCTGTAAAAGATCCCTATAAATCCTTGGGTCTTGGAGGATGTATATCATTTTTTAACCTTTTTCTGGTTTTGATTTTTAGTGTTCAGTCAAATCTGTCTTGTCCATTCTTTCCATTCCTTTCACTGCTTGAGCAACTCCCTGTCATTGCAGTGGGCTCCTGGCAGATGTACGTAGTTCCAAACCATTCTTACTGCTAAGCTCCTATGATGCCACCAATAAATATAAACTCAGTGTGGAACTAAGGCCTTTCCCAATGTAATCCTGCTTACATTTCCCTGCCACATCCTGCCCTAACTCTGATGTACTATGCATTCTAGTTGAGTTATTTTATTTTTGTTTATACCTCATGCTGTTCCCTCCAGCCTGCTATGCCCATCCCAACTTTAACAAAATCATGCACATCCTTCAAAGTGTACTACAGACATGAAGCCTTTCCTTATTTCTTAGTCAGAATTAATCAGCCATGCACTTGGGACAAATTATTCCTATTTCTGTTTAGCACTTACTTCATGGTTTTACAATTAAAATAATTATATTCCCATTTCCCCAGTAGACTGTAAACTCCTTGAAGGCATAGATTATGTTTTTGTGTCTACCTCACAGGACCTGCCATTTAGTAGGTGCTCAAAAGATGTTAATGCACCTTGGGTTGCCTTTCCTGTCCTGGACAAGGCAGTGACAACAGTAGTGTTCCCTTTATCTTGGACCTCCTAGTTCTATCCTTACAGGAGTCAGACTTCATACTTTACCTGACCTCTCATAATTTTTCCTGTATCATCCTCTGGTTTTAGAGGAAGAAGCATGGAAAGGAAGCATGGAAGCTTTCCTTGTCCAGCTTCGTTATTTTTGGTAGATGATTTCTCTTAATCACTTTGGATGAGCTCCTTGTTAAGTGAGGGATAGGAATGAGCATGACCTCACTGGGGTTCAGTGGGAGAGAAGTATCTTTAAGGAAGAGAGATTAGGGGAGGCTGTGTACAAATTTGTTATAGAAAAGGGAGTCACTTGGTAAGGAAACTTTTTTTCTTTTTTTGAGACAGGGTCTTGGCCTGTTGCCTGGGCTAGGGTACCTTGGTTGAGCAATCCTCCCACCTCGGCCTCCCAGAGAGCTAGGATTATGGGCGTAAGCCACCATGCCTGGCCTAGTTAGGTTTTTTGCTATTGTAAATAGAATTGTTTTCTTAATTTCATTTTCAGATTGTTCATAGCCATTGTATAAAAGTACAGTTATACTGCTTCATAAAGGAGGGAAAGAAATGAAAAAATATATTTTAACAAAGTACAATTGATTTTTTAAAATATTGATCTTATATCCTCTGCAAGTTCAGTAACCTTGTTGAACTTATTTATTTTTTTGAGACAGAGTCTCACTTTGTTGCCCAGGCTAGAGTGAGTGCCGTGGCGTCAGCCTAGCTCACAGCAGAACTTATTTATTTCTAATAGTTTTTTTTTTTGGGGTTTTTTGGTGGATTCCTAGGATGCTCTTTAAATATGATATATCATCTGGAAATACAGAGAGTTTTAG